AACCGCCCCCAGCAGCAACAAGTGGAGCGTCCCGAGGCGTGGCTTGATTCCCTGCTGCTGCAGCTTGGAGCCAGCAAACAGCAGCAGCAGCGCATGCATCGCCAGCAGCAGCAGCAGCAGCAGCAACGAACGGGGCCCCACACTCAACACCATGTCTGTCTCCTCAAATATATAACGCTGTATAGAGGGGTAGTCCCCTGCCCAGCAGCAGACAAGGAGTGCAGCAGCAAGAAGGCTGCAGCAAGACAGCACCAAAAAGAGGCGATCTGCTGCTCGCTGCAGCCTTCTGTATGTACACCCAAACATCCCTTGCTGCTGCTGCTGCTGCTGCTGCTGCTGCGAGTCACGTCTGCTGCAGCAGCAGCAACAAAGCGGGAGCTCATACCACCAACGGACAAGCCGCACTGTAAACGGAATCTGCCGACCTGGCAGAAGCAACTGCTGCTGCTGCTGCTGCTGCTGCTGCTGCTGCCGGTGCTGCAGCGAACCAGCAGGCAGGGTGGGGGGCGCCCACGGGCTGCTGCGGGCAGCAGCAGCAGCAGCAGATTCCTGCGGGAGCAGCAGATCATCAGGCATTTTGTTTTCTCTTTCGGTTCCTCTGGTCGCTCTGCTGTGCTGTTGCAGCAAGTGTTGCTGCTGATCCTGCTGCTGTTGCTGTTGCTGCTGCTGCTGCTCCTACGGCGAAGCTCCTGCAGCAGCCTGCAAGGTGTATTTCTGACGGCTGATATTAGAAATGGGTGCAGTTGTTTCAGGTTTCTCTGCTGTTGGCTCAGGCTCTGCTGCTGCTGCTGCTGCTGCTGCTGCTGCTGCGAGTTTGCTGTTGCTGCTGCGGAGAGGAAGTGACCGCAGCAGACCACTGGCGGCTTAGGTTTACAAACATATCGCTAGACAGGCAGCCGACTGCTTCAGGTGTATGTACACCTCATTGGAGTTATCATGCTGCCTCATAGAAAGACATGGCTAGGAAGTCTTGCTGCACTGTCACTGCTGCAAATGCTGCTGCTGCTGATGCTGCTGTCGGTGCTGCCCGCGCAGCTGTTGCTGCTGCTGTTGGTTGAGAGGGAGATTGTCTAGCTTATAGTGCATATAATCCCTTATTTATTCAATAAAGTACATTATTTCAGTATAAAGAAACAAGAAAAGCCGCAAAAGGTGCAGCAGCAGCCTCTATCTGCATGCGACTGCTGGTTAACCATTGGGGCCTCAGATCCGTTTGTACGTGTTTCCGTGCAGCAGACTGCCATTTTCTGCGGAAAAAAAAACCCTCATTCTCTTTGTATTTATGTATTATTAATTAATTAAATAATTTAACACTATTAAATTCATGTCAGTGAGTTGAACGACAGCAGAAAGCCCGCATCCCTCCATACACAGGCTGTGGGGCCGCAGCGACCGCGCTTAGTATTCTCTTTCTTTACGAGTTGAATGCATTCATGAATTTATTTTTCATTCAAAGAAAGTCTAAGAAGATGTCGTCAGCTATGATGATCTGAGAACGCATGCTTCTGCTGCCGCTGCTGCTGTTGCTGCTGCTGTTGCTGCTGCCGAGATAGGTTTGTCTCGATTGCTTATATTGTGTATATGTGTATGCAGTTGGTATTCCTTTTATATTTTTTTGCTTTCATGTTGGTTAAGGATATTTATGTTGTAGTCATTTCATATTCCCTTTCCTCCGTTTCAGCACGAGGGGGGATATTCATGTTTCTCTGCCTATTGCAAGTTGCAGCTTTCTTATTGAATATCCGCGAAATAAAGTAAAAAAAAAAAGATGAAATGCCATATTAGGACTTAGTTTATGAATGTTTCTTCTGTATACTGACACTTTATCAACAGCTTTCCTTTTATTCAAGTTTCTTTTTTGTTTTATTTCTCTGTTTCCTTGTCTACACCGCAGCGCGTTTCAGATTGCATCCATAGATCAGCTACACGCCTGTTGAGTGATAGATCCTTGTTTAGGTGTAATCATAATTATCATCACTTTCGTCTTTTTAAGAGAGAGAATATAAATAGGAATTGCACGTCTTTAGGTGCCTATTGAAAGAGGAGAGCACAAACCGAGAGAACGAAGAAACTCAACTCTACCCGTATTGAACCGACCAGTATATCCGGTTGGTTGCTAACGATGGAAGATAGAAAAACAATTCTCTATGAATTGTTCTTGCTGTACAGAAATTTCTATATCTGTACAGCAAAAATAATTGTATAGCGCTTGATGATATACAGAAACTGAATGCAGCGAGACAATGTTTCTTGCCTTTCCACCGGAGAGTACAAGCCGGTCGGTCTGTATTGATTATTCTAGAGAAGAAATGAGCAGACATTTCGACTGAGATCTAAAAAGAATATGTAAAACTTTTGTTCTGTGTTTCGCTTGAAAGTGGCTGCTTCGCCTATCAGCGCTATATACCAGCGCTGCGGGTGCACACGTTGCTACAACTCCTAATAGAAGGCGGCTCCACAGTAGATATATTGAAACGAGTTTAGTTATGCATGCAAGCATAAAAAAGCCCTTCTTAATGTATTTACTAACAAGGTAGCCAATCATTACACACATAAAGTTGCACTCATACGCATGAGCTGACGTGCAGATAGCTTGAAAAACAAGAAAAACTCCAGACCGGCTTACACTATTCATGGATGTGAACTCGCTAGATGATCTCATATTAATTATATATCTATGTATATTAATATTCTTACACTCATCGATATATTTACTTGTTCCGTGGTGTATTCTGTTAACAAGGGGGCAACAAGGGTGAACACTGATATGGTGTTGCCGGTGGGGGAGATGCACCAGAAGCCGCTGCAGTGTCTATCAGACCAGCGTCAGCGTCTTGCCCTCTTATTTTTATGACGTTAGTTACGCTGTTGTGCTTGAGTAGTTGAGAATAATCGGTTAATAATACTTTACTTGACGACCCCGCAATCTTGTGCGGCTCACAATTACCTTTAACAAGAAGAAATAAGCCTAATTATAGCATTACTGTGTAGTTATTGGTTGCTCAGAGAGCCCCTTGAAACGCCACTGACACCAGAGAAAAGAATTACATCCTTAGATATTCACGCTTCCCGAGGTTTTGTGTGGAGGTCTCAGCCTGTGTGCCCCCTCAAGGCGAGCATTGTAGCATGAGTTAGCGCAGAAGCCTTCCCCTGGTTTTGGCACGTTGCGTGTAAGCGCCTGCAAACGTTCTACAAGTACGTTCAGAGGTAAAGCATGCAGCAAAGGGAGCTTCGCTGAAGCTTCCTTACGTGCACGCGTGGGGCTGGCTTGCACTACCAGCCGCAGCGGGGTGCGCTGCAACCCNGCTTCCTTACGTGCACGCGTGGGGCTGGCTTGCACTACCAGCCGCAGCGGGGTGCGCTGCAACCCCATTTCTGGCTGCTTCCTCCCTGCAACGCCCGGGCCCTGAGCTCAACGCCCAGGATGCACCGGGGAAGGAGGTCAGCGGCTTTTGGGAAACTCTTGCTTTAAGTCTTTCCCTACATTGCGGCTCGCCTCCGGCCAGATAAAGGCCAGAAAACAAGCGTTACAAGCATTGCTCAGGAATGCGGTAACACAGGTGACAATAATGCGTTTGGCATGTACCGTGAGCCTGTCTCAAGTAGGTGCATACATTTACATATACTTAGATACTGACTGGGTGTGGCCTGCTGTGCGTTCATCTATTACTCGCGGTGTTTGTGTATACGGTTCGGTCATGTGGTTATGATATTCTCTAAGACGGAGGAGTTGCAGCGCTGGGTGCTGCACATCAGAAGGAGCGGCTTCCCCTCCTCCCTGATGTAGAGAGGTAGATATATAGGTAGATGAACAAGTAACAGCATTACTTTTCAGCTCGCCGGCATCACAGAGTAGTGGCAAAGTAAAGTTACTGAAGGTATGGATGGTGAGATTTCAGGAAAGCTCATGAGAGCTCGCGGAGTTCGAGTGAGATGAAATGGGAACGGGGTATTAGATCATGGCTCGTTCTAGAGATTTCTTGCAAATTACTATGCTGTGGTTAGTCGATATATAAGCTAGCTGTTAAAGTATCAAGTACACCACCTCCTCCTCAGACTACCCCATGGTTGGATGTTCCCGCATTTCGTTTCCCGGTTGTTCAGTGCCCGGATCACACGCACACTCCTCTCTACTTGTTCAGTTGCAGGGTCGTGTTTGTTGTCTCTTAGTTGTCGTCCTGTTCACCATCAGGGTTTAGGGTTTAGGATTTTAGGGTTTTAGGGTTTAGGGTATTTGCCGGAGAACATGTGAATAACTTGTATCAGTGCAGGGGCTTAGCCACTTTCGCCTAACCAGCGATTTCAAAGGGCCCCTAGAGTTAAACTTCAGATAGCAGGCAGTTGGTTAGCTTGTTACTCACTTGTGCTGCAAGTTGTACAGAACGACAAATGAAGGCAAATGAGGTTTCTATCACCAAGATAGAAATATCATGTGCCCTTCATATGTCGTTCCGTAGAACTGTAGAACACCCTGCTAACCCAATAATGTGCAAATATTTCGCACAAAGTCGCCGAGTTTGCGGCTTTATGGCGATATAGACTGCAGTGATTCGAGACGGCGCAATATCTCACAGACGCGTTTCTAAAACCATACAAATCTGAGGAGTTGTCTCAATTCAAAATGTTTTAATAGGATGACTAGGCTGGCAAACAAACAAATCCCACGAAGTCTCGACTGACCCACACCACAGACTGTATATGTGCTGGTTATGGGCTGCTTATGGGCTGCTTATTGATCAGCTCAGCTCAGGGTTGACAACGCTTAGAAGTTGAGGGCGAAGAGACCGACAACGACGAAAGCACAGCTCAGGAGGGCACCATAAGCGGAGACGGCGCCAACTCCGCTGCTAAGAACCGCTGCAGCCTTCGTCCAGGTCTCCTCCCTGAATGCAAGTGTATTCGCAACAAAATTGTGGGTGATGTCAACCGAATGATCCCTGCTGTCACGCCAAACTGCGGCTGTTTGAGCCTTCAAGATGCACACATACAAGCGCTCCTTGAACTATGGTTGTCGTGCTGGAGTGTGTACGTATGTACATATATATGGTATCTATTATATATATTCTTTATTAAATATAATTTACAACCAACTGTGCAAGTACTGTAATAGACTGGCGAAAGTGAGAATACTGACGTGATGGGGGATTTTCCTTCCTCGAAGACGGAAGGGTCCAGCACGCAAGCTAAACCTTCC